TCTGCAACAGCAGCAACAATTCCCTTCCGGCTCAGGGACAAGGCCGGTTTTTCTTGGGGAAACCGGCTTGAACATAGCAAGGACTGGGACCGGCGTGTTTTTACCCCGACCGAATGGATCCAAGTCCAACCCGACCGAAACTCGCGGGAAACAAGGTCAACCCATTTACAGCTCAGGCCCGCCAAAGAGTAGTTTGAATCTGGTAATTTTTTTAGTAGTCAGTTTGTGCTGATTTAATTCTTTCGTTTTCCCACAGTATTGGTACCAAAGCCGGTGAAGAAATAAGGACTCGGGCCCTCTCAGACACAGGATACAAGCCCGCGCTCGGGCCGAGCAAGACCGCAATCTTGACACTAAGATCGGAAAATTTCGAAACAACTCCAATACTCCATCGGTGACATATCTGGGAATTGTGGGTCTCATATTGAGCTATTGGGCCGATGTCAAAGCCCATACAACATGCCTATGCTTCAATCTGCATTACCCCTTACTTCAAGCCCTTCCCAAACTCATTTGTTTTCAGTAGTTTAAGAAAGAACACAATGTTCTGTCGTGAGCCTTCGTGTTAATTTTACAGTTAAGACAATTTGTAAAGAAAGTAATTAATCACATTGTGAAAAAATACGTGGGCCTAATGGTTAGGCAGGTCTAACATAAAAAAAAAAAAAAAAAAAAAAAAAGGAAAAATCAAATACTTGCTAACCTCACTCATATTTAGTATAGTCATATTTATTATAATCTAAAATAGCCACCATTGTACCCATTGGACCCAACAGCTAGTTCAATATGGTACTCATACAGCCCGGCAACAAAACTTCCGGCAGCATGGCCGCCGACAGCCGCCAGGAGGAACACGAAATCGGTGGCCAATATGGCCACGACCGCTAGATAAGTCATGAACATCTTGAGCCCACGCAAGGCGGCACCACCAAGCGCCGCCAATCTCCGGTCATCCCATCGTTCTCGTGTCGGGTAATTCGAGATGAACTCGGCCGTGAACGTGAGAAAGAACACCAACGAGAGAGAGAAGAGATGCTCGGACGTCGTTTGGTGGTCCGGCCATCCCGAAAAAAGTCTCGTAAGATACGAGTTCCAAAAATCGTTTGGTGATGGGAGGACCATAATGTATGTTAATTTGTATAATAAAATAAAATAAAGTGAGGAATTTAGAAAAAATTAGAGAGATTGAAGGGTGGAATATATCATAACGAAATACATTATATTGTTGATCGAGTTTGGTTATTATATAGATGAAGTTCAAGGTTAATCTTTGTTTTCTTCTATTGATGTGTACTCAAGTTCAAGTACAAGTTGTTAAATGCCTTTTGAGTAGAAAATAGAATAAATTGGGTGTGGGGAATATATAGATTTATATGATTACAAGCAAATTATTTTTTTCCCTCCTACTTTACTTGACTTTGAACCTACGTTTTATTGATAAGTGTTCATGATGTTAGAGTACTATAAAAGTAGAACAACATTTAATCCCAGTATTGAATTTAAATCTACGAATACTTGAACTTGCACAAATCACAAATTTATTGAAATTATTAGCCGATTGCGAACAAGTTCAGCTCGACTCATAAAACCGAACGTTTTAACTCATATGCATGACATGAGACCACACAACATAACTTTCGTCAATCATTTCCATTGGCCTCGATATCCCTAGAGGAATGTACCAACTTTTATATCCTCAATCAACTTCTCGAGATTGCGATGAGACGACCCGCCCTCACGAACGCTTTCCCGAGCCAACCGAGCAATCTCCTCCGTCGATCTCAACAACTCTTCCCTCCCGCTCTCCATCAAATGCCTCACCATTTTCTCCACCGTTGATCTCTCGCAAATATCCTTCATATCGAGGCCCACTTTCCACATATGGCTCACGCACCTACTGTTGACCTGCTGGTCCGCAATCGCGGGCCAACAGATCATAGGCTTGCCGGCTGTCATACTCTCCAAAGTCGAGTTCCACCCGCTGTGCGTCAGGAACCCGCCTACGGCATCGTGGGCCAGAACATCCTCTTGCGGGGCCCAGCCCACTATCAGGCCCCTCATTGGTGTGGCCGCCTTCAGCTCATCAAGAGTGGTAATATTTGGTCCATTATCGTCAACGATCAAGTTGGGCCTTATGGCCCACAAGAACGGCTTCCCGCTGTCGACGAGCCCATGCCAGAACTCTGTGAATTGGTCACGGGTCATCACCGCCACGCTGCCGAAGCTCACGTATAGGACCGATTTGGGTCGTTGGGTGTCAAGCCAACCCATGCACGATTGGTCCGTCTGGAACAAGCTAGAGGAGTTGTGGGAAGTGTCCGACCCATGTTGATGCCCAATGGGCC